ATACACAATCTTTAAATTCTAATATATTGATGAGTTTTTAACCAATTTTAATAATTTTATTACTGATAGAATCACAAAAATCTACTCTACAACTTTATTTAGGAGCTTAAAATAAATTTAATTAATAAATTATTTTATATTTTAAATTACAAAAAATATTTACTATCAAGTTTATATATAATTTTAAAATAGTATACTCTACTCTTAAATCATTAAAATATCTTTTAAAAATAATAGAAAATTATATTTATCATTAAAATATCAGCCTTTCTCAAGATTATTTTATATAATTATATATATCTTATATCTATTGTTTTATGATATTAGGTTGATATTTTTATGATTATATAAAATATTAACTAATTTCTTAACTAATTTATTAATATTCTTTTTTTTTGCATATCTTCTTTATATCTTCTTCATATTGGCTTTTTATAATAAAAAATTTTGACCTGTGTTATTCTGATTTGTCAAATAAGATTAATAGAACCAATAGAATCAATAGGACTAATAAAACATATAAAACAGATAGAACCAAACAGACTAAAAGATCCTAAAAGACTAAGTAATCAGAATAGACATAAAGATCATAATTGGCAGAATAGTCTACTGCATGTATATACTAGATTTTATTATAAATAAAGACTGTGTTAACCTTTGAAATGATATGCAATGTTTTCTTTGCTTTAATAAATAAGTTCCTAATACCCAAAATAATAAATTCGCTAAAACCTCTAACCACCTAAACCCGATATTCATTGTGATTACCCCCCTCCGAATTATTGAAACCCTGTCTGGCTGTTGCATCCTAACGTACCAGGATCAGCCGTGGTTTATTCTTTTCCAACTATCCGAAGTAGTGTGATAGTTGTGGTTGTTTCGTTTATCCAATTACCCATAGTGAGGTAATTGAGGATAGAATTAGTAAAGAATCAGTACAGAAGAAACCCAAGACATAATAAAGAAGTACTTACCTACGGACATCCAAACCACTCGCCAAATATAACACGCCTATAACGACTAAGCCGCCCGTAGGTTCAGTAGATTAGTGAGAATCGAGAGATAAAATTCGACCAATCACACTAGTATGTAATTAGCTAATAAATTTGCAAAATTAAATAGAATATACAAACTAATTAGTATAACAAAAATAAAGATTTTTTTAAAAAAATACTCTAAAGATTAATATATTTAATAAAAAAAACTATAATAATAAAGTAGTTAAAAATTTATAACTTTAATTAGAAACTAAAATTTGTTATACGTATTCATTATCATTTATATGTAAAATTTTAAAACAGTAAAATTTAAAAATGATAAAGAAAAAAATTTTTTATTATTCTGCTTCGCGTAATCTAAACCAAATTTCAAAATAACTTGTTTAAAAAAGAGTCGGAAAGAATAATTTTTCGTAATAATTTCACATATTTGATTAGTAGCAAATAATTATCACACTTGAAATGAATAATTGCTTCCAAAAATAAACCGATTTCATAAAAACAGGATTTCTGAGCATTGAAAATGGTAATATCTACTTAAAAATCATTGACTACCATTAATAAAATATTTTCTTAAATATTACGAATAAGTTTAATTAGGCACATGTCAAAAAGTAATCATAGTAAATATGAGCAAATTTCATTAAGCAGTTTGAGCATTTTAAGCAAGATAACATCCATAGTTCTAACTTCTAACATATAACCTTAAATTAATATTAAGTTAATTTTTATTATTATAAAAAAATTGATATTACATCTAAAAGTTATTATTTGTTTATGTCACGAGTCCCAAAAGTTTTCAATCTCGGCCTAAAATTAATTTTTAACTGTATTAAGGCCAATTAATATTTTGAACCAAATTGTCATCAGGAACACAATAAATAAATTATCCTTAAAATATATTACGAAAAAAAAACTATTTAACACACATTCCTATACCAAAAACTTCAAATAATACAGGAATCATATCAACAACAAGCCATCCTATGCCTTAATAAAAATTAAAAAAGCTTAATCCTATTTTCAAATTAACAATATCGATATAAAGTAATTACCTGTATAAACTATCAACTTTATTGTCAAATCAATTGGTAGAATTACAAAGTTCTTATTAAGTTCATTCGATTTTGAATACTTATTACGTGATCTTCTAGTTACTCCAGTAGGTGATGTAGATAATGGATAACGATCATTTATAATCTTTCTATTTGATATAATATTAACGTTAATATTTTGACAATACGAAAATGAAGGATGAATTTAGTATAAGTTCATATTAATTATATATTCTATTATTGTTCATGTGATATAATCATTCATACAAAATATCACTGCATAAATCATCACATGCTAATATAATATAAACAATAACAACTATATGGATCATACGAAAAATTTTCTGTTATTTTTAATCGTATAACCAATATCTTATAATTAACGGTATGACTTATAATAAATTCGATCCAAAATGAAAATGCATTTATATAAAAAAAAAAATACTTTATAATGAATGTATCCTGATAAATTAAATTAAATGCTTTATAAATTGGTGAAAGAACAGCTAGTAAAATTTTCTTCATCGAAATTCTCCAAATGAAAACTACCATTAGTCCTTCAAAAGATAATGGTTTTGAATATATAAACTTTGACCAAAAATTTTAAAGCATTTAATATTCATACCAAAAATAACACGCGAGACTGTTATAACAAGTCCAGTAGAGTTGTAATCATAAGGCACATTACCATTATTCGAAAATCTAGAATTTGAAAAATTCCAACTTCCAATAATCATACCAATTGCTGCGCCTATACACGCAATGCTAATCATGGAATATGTTGGAAAAAAAAAAAATGAAAAAAAATTTAAATAATAATTTCACATTGTCAGACTTACCTATCTTCAATACATGGACAGTGATCTATAGATTCAGGAAATATATAAACTAAGGAAATTCCAACAGCAATTACTATAATTGGAACTATCCAGATAAGAAAAAAGATTGTAAATATTAATAATGAAATTAAATATGCGAAATAAAATGTAACATATTTACCATTCCAACTTTTATTCAGAATAAATGCATCAATATGAATTTGAAAACTCCAATGAATCCACCAAATCAATATTGCCAAAATTGATCCTGCAAGCACATCTAATGTTTATTATGAGAAAAAAAAAATCCATTATTAAATAAGCAATTAATAAAGTTACTACGTAGCATTTATTAAATTTATTTCTACATACCGGTAAGACTATGCATACCACAATATATACGTCCAATCATTATGCTCAAACAATAAATAATCACACAAGCTGTACCAACAACTTTAAGCATAGTATTCGATTCAATCGCATATATGTGTGTCAGAAGGTAGAGTGCAATTGAGACTGCATTTGTAGTATGCGTCGAAGGAAATCCATATTCTAGGTGATGAGATCCTATGCATAGGCGACGGATTGGTGGTGAAGATGGTCTAGGTAAACACAACATGTCCTTAAAAAAATAATAATTGTTATATTGTTTTAAAAAAATATATATATGTATAGCGCAATTTTTTATCTTACCTTTAAAAATCCGGTAAAGAAAACTCCGGACGTGGTTATTAGTGTAAGACTTTTCGAAAGTGTTGTATATTTAGTAGAAATAAAAATTAAATTTCTAAGGATTTGAATTATTTATTCGAATCTTTGATCCACACACACCTTCTCGCCAACGGACCATAACCAAACCAAAACAACATCGGCAAAAATATGACAAAAAATGTATGGGTTCCCAATATGGCGGTATATATAAAAAATGAATCAAGTAATGGGTGACGTAACGAATTCTAGCGGAAGGTAAAAACGTCGTTTTTATAGTTCAGAATGATAAAATTTATCAAAATTGTGTAGGGAAACACACCTGAATATTAGCAAGTAATTTCGTTTCCTTGCGAATAGTTGATAACAGCCATCTTCTTAGTTGAGCACTAATAGGCGGTAATAATTTATCGTAATATGACTCAGGGTGTGTTCCTGCGTCGATGAATGGTTGCAGCTTTACTGCGGTTGCAGTCATTATAATAATCTGGAATTTTATTATACGTACGTACGTACTGAAAAATAAAATATCAGATATGATTCCGAAAATTGTCACCTTTAAATGAATGCTATTTTATAATTGTAATTTTGAAAGATGTCAAATACCAATCCTGCAGATAATCAAATTTTTTACGGGTAAAGATATATTAATTTGGGGCTTATTGCTTACGTAAAATTCATTAAATCTCTAGATTATAGATGTATTACCGACCTCCAAACATTAAATCTTCAAAATCTAACCGAATTTGGTTTTTTTTTTTTTTTGTCCCATAAATATATGGGGTGAATCAGTGGAAACGCGCTAAATCTTTTTTAGTAAATAATTTAAAAGAATTTAGAATTAATTTAGAAGAATTTAGAACTAATTTAAAAAAAATTTTTTTTATTAAGACCCTGCTGATCGTTATATAAAATTTTATAAAAATACTACCGCTACCTGTATAAAATTTTTTTTTAAAAGTTTTCAAACTTTGACCCGGCCGGTTATGAGAACAATTTTATACCAGATGTGGCCTAAATTTGACTAACTATATATATGTAAAATTTTATTTATTAATAAAAAATTTTGGTATTTTCTTTAAAGTTCTGTTTTAAGCCATCTCCCCAAAAGTTTTAGGCATGTGTAACTAGATTGGGTGATAAATTATGGTACAGTGTCACTTAAAGACTCAACAAAATTTTAAAAGCCAATAACTTTTAATACAGAAAAGAGAAATCTATCAATTTGACAGCTTATTGGTTTTTATTTTAAAAAAAATTATTACAAGGCAACTCGATAAGCCGAATAGGTTGGGAAATTATAAAATAAATTCGGTTTACAAGATTTAGTAAATTCGGCTTAACGTATTTATTATAAATGTTCTGTGTTCAACTTCGGTTTATAGAGTTTTTACTTAGTCTTCGGTTTATCAAACTTCAATTTGTCTTATATAAATTTTAAACTATATCTTTAAAAACATAGTAGATAGTATTTTCATATTAAATAAATAAAATGGGACACATGTTGATACAATAGACCAATCAAATTTTAGCAAATAAAAAAAAAACATTAAAATCTAAAAATTTTCAATTTTTAAATGAGACATTTGAGTCTTTAAATGATATGCACTGTACCAGGTATAATACTGAATAACAATGGGGAATTATACGTATCAATCACAACATATCGACATACATGACTTATTGGGGAGCTCGATACTATGTAAATCAAAACTATATGTGGTCACCTAATATTTTAAATAATTAGTGATTTTTTTAATAATCAGTTATTAAATAAATTATTAACGAAACTAAGTTACACGAAAAATCTTTGATATTAAATTTTTATATGATACCATACCATGCACCCCAATGATTTATCTCTATCAAAGTTTTATCATAGAAAATTTTAAAAAACATCTTTTTAATATGATATATTTTACTATTTTAACAGTTCAATTAATTTTTTGAATGGATGGTTTATCATTTCTATATACGGAAATTAAGTGATTCTGATACGTATTAACGGTTAGAACGTGAGTCTGTTAATACCCATAGTACAGATTGCCCAGTTGAAACATCGGAACGTGAATTTTTTTTTTTTAGTTTTTAGTCCAAATTGAAAACTGCGTCAAAATTCTTTGCAAATTTTTGATCGAAGATACCTCGATCAAATTTGATGAAATTTTTATTTGAATACTATTAATTAGTAAAATTCAAATAATAAAAAATCTCGTCGAGTTTGATCTGATCAATTGGTTAGAAAGTTTTTAATTTTTAAATTTTGAGTTAACGTGATCTTGTATCGGTATGCATGGTGGAAATAGCAAAAATCCAATTCTCATAAATAAATTATTATTAATAAAATTGATTATATCAATTTATTTAGAATAAACATAATCAAATTATATTTGAGTAAAACCTTTACACATACTTTAATTTTTTATTAGATAATGTTACTATACTAGATTTATATGATATTTACCTTTATATAGTTTGAAATATGCCATTTATCTTGCACGAAAAATTTTTAGTAGTAAAAATCACAATTGGTGAATTTATAAAATAGTTAATATTTTTCATATTAGACATTTATTTATATTACACTGTCTATTAAAGTTTATCATCACAAACTGTAATATTTTAAAATATTTTGTCTCATGAAATATTTATATAGGCATCTCGTAATACGTGAAATATATGTTAGGATTATCTCACTCGAGACATTATTTTCTAATTTCAATGCCAAATAAGCTGTTTTGGACTCCTCTTTAAATCGATTAAATAAACTATATCAACTACAAGTTTGTAGATGATATGATATTTTTATTTTTTTTTATATTTGTTTATTAAATCAAATTTCACAAAACTAAATAATTATAATGTAATGCCAAAAAATATTAGAATAGAATAACTGAATAAACATCTATTTATAAATCGAATTAAAAAATATAAATAAGATGTTTAACAGAAATATCCGTATTTAAGCACTATTTTGTTCCAGATTCAATTTGAGCAAATTCCTCAATCAATTGACGTTGTTTAGGCGTTAAAGTTCTATAATATAAAGAAATGGAGTGAGAAAATCTCGGCACAAGTCGATTAATCCAAAAAAAAAAAACCTACTTTGGTAGAGGCACTTTAAATACGACAATTTGATCACCACGATGGTTTGTTCCAATCTTTCGAATTCCTCGCGTTTTCATAACCATCTGTTGATCAGGTTGTGAACCAGGTGGAACATTTAATTCTACGTCTCCATCTATTGTAGGTACTCGAATAGAACCACCAAGCATGGCTGTATGAAACGGAACTCGAGCTTCAACAAAAATGTTAGAATCTAGTCGTTTAAATGTCTTGTGAGGAGCCACACGTAGACGAACAATTAAGTCTCCAGGAAGACCTTGACTATCGAATGGCATGTCGCCTTTTTTTGGGATTCGTATCCTCATTCCATCTTCCGAACCTATAATTAAAAAAAAAAAAACATATATAGTAATCGTCATTCCAATAATTCAAAATAAACTAAACTTAATAATAATACCAGCTGGAATATCAATTGCTTCCGTTTTCCGCTCCTTTACTTGCCCCTTACCGACACAGGTATTGCATCTGTTTTCAGGGGATATTCTGGTTCCTTTGCCGCCACATTCATCACATGTCACTTGCATACGAAATCCTGATGCAACCGACAAAGACCGCACACCAGAACCTTTACATGCAGCACAAACGTCACGCTTTTTTTCCAGTTTTAGTTCCATGACCTTTACAAGATTTACATGTGGTAACAGCTTCATAAATAATACTTCTTGTAGCACCTTTGGCGGCATCCATGAAAGGAACATTTAGTACCACCTATTTAAATAGAAGCACATATAAATAAAAATTCATGAATAATGTGTAAATATTTGTGAACCATACCTCAATGTCCGTTCCTTGAGCAAATGGTTCTCCATATCCAGTTGACCAGGCAGCTCCTCCACCTCCAAAAACATGTTCAAAAATGTGCATTGGATTTCCAAAACCAGTGAACCCATTAAAGTTCGCACCCGCGCCTGGTGGTATATCTAATAGAATTTCGATATTTCAGTATAAGATTGGAATCAATTAAACATAATAATTAATTAAATTATTATATAGTCGACTAAACCGATTCAAATCCCTACTTTAAGTGTTTAACAAATTTATAGAATTTTAATATAACAACTAACCTTTGAATGAACCCCCCCATTGATCATACTCTGCACGTTTTCCTTCATCACTTAATACCTATAATATTTGTCCAAATTTTTGTAATTTTAAATTTTTTTTTTTACCAATAGTGTAGACCTATTAATAAAAAAATATCATACATCATATGCTTCCTGAATTTGTACAAACTTTTCCTTTGCAGCAGGATCTTTATTTGTATCAGGATGATATTTTTTAGCAAGCTAAAACCAATTAAAAAGATATATTAATTTTAATAAAAAAATTTTTAGGAATTTAATGATTTTTAATATATTACATACAGAATAATAAGCTTTTTTTATATCAGATTGGGAAGCATTTTTTGATACACCAAGAACTTTATAATAATTCTTGCTATCCTGTCTCACAGGTGCTATTAATATAAAATTAAAAATATAATCAGAATACGAAACAAATATAATTTTAGAAATACATAAAAAAAAACACAAGATTAATTA